TATCAAAGGGCAGCATGCCATCTGCCTGTCAGCATACCCCAAGCCGCGCCACTTTGATATCAGCCGTTGCCACTGGTGCTACATAAAGCCAATAGAGCATGTGGGAAAGCCATGTGTATATACATGTATCATGTACAGACTAAGTGTATGGAGTGTAATGCGCGACAGAGCGCGAGTGCGGAGAGCGTATATGTATGTATTATATGTGTATAATACATGTTATGCATGTGTACGTGTATGGTAGGGGTGAAACACGTGTGAGGCGCGGGCAGGAGGGGATGGGTCAGTGCATGCATTCAAGAGAGAGATGGCAATACACATGTCAACGATAACTATTCTTCACACACACACACACACACACACACACACACACACACACACACACACACACACACACACACGTGTCTGCATGTGCTTGCTCATGTACCGTGACGTCGTAAGTGCCTGGGCCAAGCCGGCGGCCAGATCCCACGCGCGCCTTTGCCTTGTGCAGCGTCCCATCCGGCCCAACTGATGTGAATGAATGTACACACGCGTGCACATACCAGCGTTGAGAACTCAAGGTGGGTTGTGCAACAATGTTCAACTCACACAGACGCCCAGACGCACAGATGGACAGAGGCACACACGCACACACGCACACACACAGACAGACACACCCACAGACACAGACACACACCCACAGACACAGACACACACCCACAGACACAGGCACAGACACAGGCACAGAGACACACACACACACACAGACACGCACGCACGCACCAACGTAGCCAGCCGTCTCAAATCGCGCGGGAATGGTAGCTGCGGTGGATTTGCGCACAAACTGCACGCGCGAGGCTGCGGGCGGCTTGTTGATGGACATGGTGGTGGTCTTGCGCTGCTTCTGTTGGCCCTTGAGCGATGTGGCGATGTTGTAGGTGTTGGGCGGCGGCGCACGTGTTTCGTCCTTGTCAAATCGCCTCGACTGCAAGAGCACATAGTGGGGGAGGGGATGAGATACAGCGAAACTGATTCTGCTGCACACGAGCGTCCCCACGTGCCACAAACCACAGGCGAGGCAGCCACAAGCAGGGACAAGCGGGGGTTCCAAGAAGGTCTTACCCGATTCGACAGCGTGGACGCGCCGACAATGTGCGTGGACGATTGCTGTGCATAGGTATCTGTGGGTTCCACACGCAACACGTGAGATGGCAGACGAATATGCGCGCAGGTGCACGATTGTCTCTGCCTTCTCACACACACACACACACACACACACACACACACACACACACACACACGCACACACACACACACACATACTCACACACACACACACACACACACACACACACACACACACACACACACACACACACACACACACACACACACCCTCTGCTGGCTCGTTGCCTCCCAATTGTACCTCTGTGACATTGCAACGACTGACACGCACGTGTGTCTTCTCTGCCCCTTCTTCCAGGCCAAGTGCTGAGCGACTTTAAAAAGCAGTACTATCTGCGGACCGTCCTGTGTCACGCCTGCTGCTATCTCTTCCTGCAGGCCTTTGCCATTCCAGGAACCGGATTCGCGAACCTCCGTACGTCATATGTGTATGTGTGTGTGTGTGTGTGCTGCCGCAGCTCGTGCTTGGCGGCGTTCCTCCTCACCGCTGCGTGGTCTGCAACGTGCTCTTGTGTGCAGTTGCTGGGGCGTTGTTTGGGCTGCGTCTCGGCTTCACCCTCAGCATCATCTACACTGCCATTGGCTCTGTCATCCTCTACTACTTTAGTCAGGTGTGTGTGTGTGTGTGTGTGCATGTGTTGTGTGTGTGTGTGTGTGAAAGTGGTGGACATGGTCTGTGAGGCTGACGAGTTGATCTTCAACGCACATACACACATGCACACGCACACACACACATGCACTCACACACATAAACACACGCAAACACGCTCACACACGACCTGGCTCTGTATGCCACCTGTGTGCGTGCGCGTGTGCGTGTGTTCAGATCTTCTGCTCGCGCATCATTCGCCGCTTCTTTGATCGAAAGCTGCAAACGTTCCAGGCCTGGGTACGCCTGCACTGCACGCGTTCACTGGCTTGCATGTGTACATGTGATGTCACACTGTGAGTTTCATGTCTTTACGCCCACTGACACACACACACACACACACGCACACACGCACACACGCACACACACACGTGTCATGTAGGCACGCCACCACAAGGCGAATTTGTTCCTGCGTCTCATCAGCATTCGCGTGTTCCCGTTCACCCCAAACTGGTGTGCTGCTGCACATGTATTGCGTTGTCGCACTCGTGTATCCTTGTGTGTGTGTGTGTGTGTGTGTGTGTGTGTGTGTGTGTGTGTGTGTGTGTGTGTGTGTGTGTGTGTGTGTGTGTGTGTGTGTGTGTGTTAAACATGCGCTCACCATGCGCGCTGCTGTATGTGTTGTGCTGGTTTGCGTTTCGTTTTTCTTCAGGTTCGTGAACATGGCATGTGGTCAGCTGGGCGTGCCCATGCACATCTACATTCCGTCATCCGCAATTGGTGAGGTGACGTACGCTTGTCCTCCCCCCCCCCCAACGTGCCTTGCTTTACGTACCCCTGCATCACCCACAACATCCCTTCTCGTCACTCACGCACGCACGCGCACATGCGCGCGCACTGCAGGGCTTGTACCGTACACGTTTATGGGCTGTCAGGCAGGCACAATTTTGACGAAGCTCCACTCCATGTACGTGTCGAAGTGTGTGTGAGTGAGTGTGCGTGTGCGTGTGAGTGAGTGTGTTTGCGTGTGAGTGTGTGTGTTTGCGTGTGAGTGTGTGTGTGTGTGAGTGTGTGAGTGTGTGTATGAGTGAGTGTTTGTGTGTGTATATCTGCCACAGCCACAGGCACGGCCACATCCACAACCACAGCCACGGATTTTGCGCACTTTTGCGCGTCCCTGCACTGTAACACGACACACGTCTCACGCAACAAGACCTTCCCTCCATCCCCCCCCTCCTTCACACGCCGCCCTGCAGGCAAGATGTGATGCAGCCACAGGTTGTGGGCGGCCTCGTTGCCATTGGCGCCGTTGGGTTTCTCCTCCCAGCTATTGCCAATCGCCTCAAACACGCGCGGGATGCTCGCAAGCACGCCAGCGCTGATGCCCAGGCAGCACGCCACTGAACGGCGCAGATTGTGCATGAGTTGTAAGGCGGTGTGGGCGGTGTGGCGTGGCGTGGCGGTGTCTGAGGTACAGCCGCTCATCATGCTCACGTACACAGACACAGACACACCCAGACACAGACACACACACACACTCACACTTGATAATGGAACCACTGCAAGCAAGCAAGCAACTGCAATAACCCCCTGCTCGCTTGCTTCCTCCCTCCCCCACTTGCTTGGGATTTACTGTCGAGTTGTACGATAGACCAGTAAATTTATATGCATGGTGCAACCTCACCCATGAGCGCCCGTGAATCGCACGCGCACACACACACACACACACACACACACACACACACACACACACACACACACACACACACACACACACACACACACACACACACACACGACGACGACGAACGGTA